GCCTGCGCTGCGGTCCCTGGCAGGCGGGAGCCGGCGCTGCGGCGGAGCGCGACCCTCCTCCCCGGCCGCCCTGTCCACCTCGCCGGGGAAGGCGGAAGATGCCAGTGAAGAAGAAAAGAAAAGCCCCCGGAGTGGCAGCGGCGGTCGCAGAAGACTCGGGCCTCAAAAAGTGTAAAATCTCCAGGTACCGCCTGCCCCCACCCCGCAGGATCGCCTTCCTCCGGTGCGGGACGGGCCGCCGCGGCTGCGGGCTGCGGGCTGCGGCGGGGCGGTCGGTGAGGAGCCCCGCGTCTCCGCTCCGCGCGGGACCGGACCTCGTGTTGGCCTGTGCGTGTGCCCTGGCGTGCTTGGACGAGCTCTGAGGTTCGCCCCACATTGTTGTCTGCGTGCCCAGAGGGTAGGAAACAGACAACCACACGTAAACCGTGCTCTTGACCCCTGCCTTCTACCTCCCAAACGAGCAGGGCCGAGATTCCCGGCGTCCCTGGGGCTCCCGAGATCAAGAATTGGCTTGGCCCACACATTATTAAATGTCAGCGTGAAGAAAGAAGGAGCAGAGCGTGAAGGATTTTGACAGCTGCCTTGGGAATGGCAGAAAGGAAACCTATGCTATAATTGGTCTCCTGAGTTAGCATTTGAAGTGGCCTAACCTGGACCATCTCAGCAGGAGGCCTTCTAAGTCGCGAGCGCCTCCGCTTCTGGAGGCAGCAAGCCCCCACTCCAACTGTACCAGCTCCCTACGCGGGTTAGGGAAGGCTCTGCGTGCTTTTTATTTTCTAGCCTTCAGACGCTGTTGGCTTTTCAGTCAGTTTCAGTCACTTGTAAACTATTGTGCTCTCTGTTCTCTAAGAAAGAAAGAAAACAAAGCAGAGCTGGAGCTGGAGCCCTCTGCTCCCTTTGCCATGTCATTCAGTCCGCACAGAAGCGTTATTGCTGCGGAAAGTCACTGCATTTTAGCTTTAAGAAGCGGGCTTCCTCCCTCCCATATTCTTTGGGTTGTCTTTGTATTAATTTTGACACTTAAAGTGACAACTTAAAATGCTACCGTTAAAACAAGAGAGCCAGCACTACTGGATAAATCTCTTTAAGAAGAGAAGCTGTGAGAAATACCCTGCTTAAAATACAAGGAAAAGTGACTTGTTTAATCCTCATCTTTTTGTAGTCGGTTTTTTTTTCCCCTCTTGGTGTATTTTAGCAAAAGAGCTTAAGTAATACTTCTTGGATGATTAGTGTGATACAATTTCCTTTATGCTCTTTGATAGCTATCTTTCTGCCTGACCTTTATGAGCTGTTTCTGAGAATCCTATCTAAGATATCTAAGCTACTTAAAACAGCTGAAGGGCAGTATCATTAGACTTTCAGGTGATTCAACCTAAATTATAACGTAGGGATTTCCATACAACTCAGTAGCAGAATCGCAATAAGGCCTTTCGGCATTCAATAAAGTATATGGCTTAGTGGTAGAGAGCAAGCCCAGTGGCGTGAGTAAAGCCCTTAGTTCAGAGAGAAAAAGAGATTTATACTTTCTTTTCTAGTCTTGGGTTAAAGGCTGCACTTCTTTATAACCTTGAAATCTGGGGAAATAATTTTAGTTACTGTTCTTGGAATTTGGTAACAAGCAAAGTAGCATTTGAGTTTTCATTGGTCAGAAATTTTTTTCTTTTTCTTTCTTTCTTTCTTTCTTTTTTTTTTGTTTTGTTTGTTTGTTTGTTTGTTTTTTGAGACAGGGTTTCTCTGTAGCTTTGGAGCCTTTCCTGGAACTCCCTCTGTAGCCTAAGCTGACTTTGAGCCCACGGAGATCTGCCTGCCTCTGCCTCCGAGTGCTGGGATTAAAGGCATGTACCACCACCGCCCTGCTCTGGTCAAAAATTCTTATGCATAGAGTACAGGTCCATATTGTTAATGCCTAACTCCTTCTCCCATAATGCTAACTTAAAAATGGCTTTGTTTCATTTGCATGGAAGCAATTGTTGAGTTTTTCAATAAGACTTGAGTCTTACTAAGTCCTAGACATTTGTGTGTTTTCTAAGCTATTGCAGATCCCAGCCTCCTGCCAGACTGATCAGTGGAGAGGAAGATTTTTCAAGAAAGAAGTGCCTGGCTTGGTTTTATGAGTATGCAGGTAATGAAATTCATGGATTAAGATACCAGTCATATACATTTAAAAGCTGTGTTTTTTTTCTTTAAACATTATTTATTGCTGGACTTTAGGTTTTAGTACTATGTACTGGGATTATGAGTTGGCTAAGAATTTAGTGCCATTTCAAGACTAGTATTTCTTTAATTCTTATTCTGTAGGAGAGAAGAAACTCATTTACTGTTTGTGTATAAATAGAAATAGTCACATTAAATGCATTGATAAGTATTCTGGGAAAGAAGTAAGTAAAACATTTATTTGTTTGTTTTTATTTTTGAGACAAAGTTTCTTTATAGTCCTGACTGTCTAGAACTCACTCAAGTAGACCAAGCTGCTTTCGAGCTCAGATTCACCTGCTCTGCTGGGATTAAAGGCATGTACCACCACGCCCAGCTTCATAAAGCATTTTCTATTCAGTATTCTAGAAAACAGTATACAAAACATTTTTCTGTTCACCATTCTCTGTGTTTTCAGAATTAGAAACATTTTCTGAAGCTTTTGGGGTAGTGTGGCAAACAATTTAAACTTCAGAGACAATGTACAACACATTTACCCTTTAATAATTTTTACAACAAATACAGCAATAAGAAAACAATGATAATATTATAGTATGTTAAGTAGTAGATTGTGGAGACACATGATTTTGGACAAGATACAAAACTCAACCTTGAAAATATCAGGGAACCTTCTTGGAGGGGCAGACTAACCTGAGCTGAGTCCGACAAGTGGTTGATGAGTAAGGCAAACCCATGAACAAGAATTCTTGGTGACATGTGCGTTTAATCTCAGCACTCAGAGGCAGGCGGAGCTCTGTGAGTTGGAGGCCATCCTGGTCTACAAAGAGAGTTCCAGGACAACCAAGGCTGTTACACAGAAAAACCCTGTTTCAAAAAGAAACAAAAAACTTGTTTCCCACTTACTGATAATTTCACGAGCACATAGGACAGTTTTTCCCTGATATTAAAACTATTTTTTCTCTTTCCTACTTTTATTTTTTCATCTTTTATCATTATCATTCTCAAAAGTATTTTCTTAAAGTAAAAATACTTAGTAGTTATTGTCTTATTTTGTACTAACTATGTTAAGGTCTAACGTGTAGCGTTTCACCTTATAAAATGAACTCTATGGAAAGCTAGACTAGTTTGAAAAGGGGGCAGCAACTTTGCTATTGGGATCAGCAGAGTGATCCCAGTTGTATGATTTAAAATTGTTTAGTAGCAGAATAGAATCTTTCTAGATCAGGGGAAATAAATGCTATTACTGGTATCCCAAGACAACCACTAACCCAAATTAAATGTAGAGAATTCATTTTTTTTTTTTTTACTGACCTCTATTTAAAATGTTGACCCATTATTTAAAGTGCCAGTTTTACATATACATTATATAGAATCAGAAGGTTCTCATCAACTTTATTCACTTACAAAGGTTACTAGACACCATAAAGATTATATAGTGTGTATGTTTCCTTTTTTTTTTTTTAAAGCTCTTATTCAAACTTCCCTGGGTATTCTAAGATTTGAATTAAATATTTATTTCCTACTCTGACATTTTTAACAGCCAACATAATAATTGCTATCATTGTTCCAGGGATTGTGATAAGTATATCATTTTCCTTATACCTATCTGTCAAGTAAGAAATGTTATCCTTGTTTTATGAATGAAAACTGAGGCTTAGATTAACTTACCAGCGATGATACAGTCCAAGAGCCAGGATTCAAACCATAGTTGACTGACCCTCAAGTCAAAGTTATGCAAATAGCAACTCATTTTTACTTCTACTAAAAAAAGTTAATAAAATACACTTGAGGTTATCGTCTGTCATTTAGTGAGTCATTTGATGAATATTTATTAAATATTTTCTGTGAGTCCAACTCTGTGATAAAGCTTGGGATATAATAATGAAAAAATCATGATGTGATCCCTGCCTTCAAATGTGACTTCTTGTGAGGAAGACCTACGGTAAAGAGTATGTGTATAGGCGAGGAAATTACAGCTTGTGAAGGCTCATACAAGTAATATGTGGAAGTACTAGGATTTCAGACAGCTCTTAAGGACGTGTCTGCAGAAACTATTTTGTTGGAAGCTTCCTTGATAAGAGGATCAGTCATTTGCTGGTGAACAGTACATGTTCTTTCTTATCAAATGCGGATATCCATTGGGGTGGAGACAAGCCAGGCCCACTCAGAGTGGATGATAGGTACAAAGCCTTAGCACAGTACCTGATACATGTCAGAACTCATTATGTTAGGTAGTATTACTATTAACAGACTTAGAGCATCTTCAAATGTATGCATGTGTGTTAACTGATCTCTTGTATAGTTCATTGTGAAGGTACTGTCACTAAGCACATTGTTTTGGTTTTTGTTTGAGTATTTATTGTAGCATTTTATTAAGCCTTGAACATATAGCTGGGAACATTTATATTTTTATATAAAATGGGGTGATGTTTCCATGTACCCTACTCTTAGAGACTTGTGATCATGTATAGGTTACTTACTATTCTCTGTAAGTGCTATATAAAATTTGAGTAGTGGTTAGAGGAGCAAAGCCCTGCGTGTGTGCAGTACAGAGGGATTATTTATCTTCCAGATGCTCAGATGCTTTTTTTCTTCTCTTTCTTTTAGACAGGGCTCACTATGTAGCCCTGGCTGGCCTGGAACTTGCTATGTAGACCACATTGACTTGTTGGTTTTATTGGGACGGAGTTTCTCTGTGTGTCCCTGGCTGTCCTGGAACCCACTCTGTACACCAGGCTGGCTTCAAACCCACAGACATCTGCCTCTTGAGTGTTGGAACTAAAGGCATATGCCACCATGCCTTACTATCTCGAGATATTTTTAGTGAGCAATTTGTTGAATTCATGTGTGTATAACTTGGTATATAGAAAGCCATTGTATACTAGCCCTCTATGGGGAAAAGATAGAGAGAATTTTTAATTTGTCACAAAGAATTAAAAATAAGATAGAATTACATAGTTTAAATGCAATATAAGGTGAGCTAATTATTTCCATGACTGTTTATTGAGTAGAAATCAAAGAGCTTGAAAGAATTAATTGAATTCACTTACACATCTCTTACCCAGTTGTAGTTTTATGAGAAGGCTATAGTTTAAAAGTATTATTGACATTCAGTCAGGGAGTGAACTTTGGTGTAGGCTTGCTTTACACTTGGTCTATTGTAGCTAGAGTTTTCCTGCCTTGCCCACAGACAGGACAAATCTCTGTCACCCACCAGTCCCACAGCTGCTCAGACCCAACCAAGTAAACACAGAGACTTATATTGCTTACAAACTGCATGGCCATGGCAGGCTTCTTGCTAACTGTTCTTATAGCTTAAATTAATCCATTTCTATAAATCTATACCTTGCCATGAGGCTCATGGCTTACCGGTGTCTTCATATGCTGCTTGTCATGGCGGCAGCTGGCAGTGTCTCCTCCCACCTTCCTGTTCTCTCAGTTCTCCTCTCTGTTAGTCCCGCTTATACTTCCTGCCTGGCCACTGACCAATCAGTGTTTTATTTATTGACCAATCAGAGCATTTGACATACAGACCATCCCACAGCAGTCTATTATTCCCATTGCTTTGGGAAAGTCACTTAACACTACAGACCTTGTCTACCTAAGATCATATGTATGTTTTATATAGTACCTACTTTGATTTCTACTTGTTTGCTAATATCACCTTATTCATCACATAGTAGAGAGCTGTATTTTTTTATTAAGAAAAATTATAAGACATTGGCTTTGTGTTGTATCTGTAACCTAATTATAGCACTGTGGAATGTACCTGCTAAAATTAGTTTAGTCTGTGACTTAAGTCTGTAGGGTTTTGTTTTGTTTTGATCCAGGTTTTGTTTGTGTAGCCCAGGCTAGCTTTGAACACTTACTCTTCCTGCCTCTACTTCCCAAGTGCTGGGATTATAAACTTGTGTCACCTTGATTAGCTAAAAATGAAGTGTTTTCTAATTGCTGAAGAAAGGAAAGTTAAAATATACAAGGAGGACACAGTCTCAAGAAGAAAACTGCATGATCTCTTTCGTTTTCAGAATCTAAATAATATGTATATTTGTGTACATGTAGAGACAGTGCAATATGTAGAAAAGAACAAGAAAGGCTGAACTATTGGGGGTTGAGGAAGAATGGGATGAAGGAAATAGATATGAGTTATTCATAGAGGATATAAACAAAGCTAATTGTTCTTCTAGTTCTAACTCTTGTCCTGGGATTTTCATTTTTGGTAGTGGATAAGTGCATAAAAATGCACCCAATAGTGAAAACATAAAATCCAATGTGAAGCTTTCAAGGCTTTTTTCCAATCTAGAAGTTCATGTAGGTGTGTAGACATTGGCCTGGTTAATTGTAGTGTCTGGTGTTTTTTATTTCCAAGGTTTTTTTATAATAAGGAAAATCAAAACTTCTTTTGGATAATGTAACATTGTTTCAAGACATTTTTTGTAGTGATAAATTTAAGTCATATTTCAAATCATAACATTTGTTTTAGGTCATTCCTAGGTACAGAAGAATTAGCAGTTACTCTATTTTGGGAATCTGATAACAAAAAAAAGTTGAAGAACTGCATTGACTTTTAGTGATATAATTTAAAATAAGAAACAAAAAAGATAATTCAAACTCCCTATGCTTTAGAGCCTTAACACTGTCAAAATTTTATTCAGAATAAATTCTTAGTAGATTTAATAAGTAAGTTCATGTTGGTTTGGTTTGTTCTTTTTGCAAACTACTGATTTATACTGGAATATTTCTTTACTACTCCTTTAAAAAAATGTCCTTAACTCACTGGGTGTGATAGCTCACACCTTTAATCCCAGCATACAAAGTTAGAAGTAGGTAAATTTCTGTGAATTCCAGGCCAGCCTGAGCTACATAGTGAGACCTAAAAACGAAAAGAAAAAAAATCCTTAGTTCATAGTGTAATGTATTTAAGGAATGAAAATTTAAAATATTTATACTTCTCAGAGCTATGCTAGAATTTAAATTCACTTATTTGTTAAAAAAAAGTATTAGGATATTTTCATGGATGCCTTTAGTGTAATAGTTTAATTCATGTTCATAATAAGGTGTAATAAAATATATAAATTATTTTTGTCTTTGTAGGTCCTGATGAAGTTGTAGGGCCAGAAGGAATGGAAAAATTTTGTGAAGACATTGGTGTTGAACCTGAAAATGTATGTTTTATTTCTAAGTAAAATGAAATATAAGTGGATTATAATGTTTTCATAAATTTCTAAAAATTGAGGCTTTAATAAATGAAGTTTTTTTTTTTTTTGTTTAATATTGTAAATTCACATTAGGGCTTTTTAAATCAGCCTAAGTTGGTCAAGTTGTCTCTTGATACAAATGCAGTTTATAATAGAGTGAGAGTCAACATCCCTAAACACTGCCTCAAGACTGGCATGTATCAGTTGTTTCATAGTTAACAATCCAGAAGCTGTAGTATCTGATAGTGGACGATTGGAAGTAATTGTTTTTAAGAATGTTCTTCATGATGAATGCAGCTATGATCCTCCCTGACTTTTCCCTGTCCTTTATGTTCTCTTTACAGATTATTATGTTAGTTTTAGCGTGGAAATTGGAGGCTGAAAGCATGGGATTTTTTACCAAGGAAGAATGGTTAAAAGGAATGACCTCATTACAGTAAGAACATTTTCTAAAATACAAATTTGGTGGCTATTTAAAGATCTCATTGATATTTTGTGCTTCATCATTTTCAGGAGTAAGATTTCATTTTAAAATAATCAAATTGGTTTGATCAAAATCAGTTTTAGGACTGGCAAAATTATATTGTGGTTTTGACAAATGAATAATTTTCATATGCTTTAAAGAAAAAACACAGGCTAATTGAATCATGTTGAGTCATTGGACAGGTAAATTAGAAATGGTCAGAGTTAGTTGTTCACAGGTTTATTTGAGTAACAAAAGTTTTTTTGCACTCTATGCAAAACTCCACTCTGAGAATTTCATCATTAGATAGTTCTTAATCCTAGGACTTCCTCACTCCCCTTTGTAGTAAGTTTAGAAAGTTACTGGTGTTTTCATGAGCTGTTTCCTCCTAATAACTCTCAAAAGGACCAAAGTAGAAATATTCTCTGGCTCCTGTGTAGTCTCTAGTTGTCTGTCGTTATGTATGTTCAGATGGAGATGACACCTGGAATATTTTCATAAATTTCATAATTACTACATTATTCAGATAATTCACTTTGCCTTTCCAGAGTAAAGTTTTAATTTCAATTCAATTAAGAATTGTGTGGTAATTGTCTCTTAAGTCATGTTCAAAATGTTCCATCAGAATGTTACTCAACATTCTAAAATATTTTCATATTTTAGAGCATTACTTTATTGTTCTTTTGTTTTCCATCGCTTGGGATTGAACTCAGGACTTTGCACATGCTAACCCAGTGCTGTACCACAGAGCCACATCCCTAACTCCAGTGAAATTTTTAAAGGCAGACACTGTGCCTTATTAGCCCTAGAGTTTTCTGTGTTGACTATGGTTTTAGCAGTGCATGTAAACTGTTCTTAACTCTTATTTATCTATCCCTCAGTACTTAAGAGAGGATGTCTTATTTGCTTACAAGGCACTGACATTTATATATTTGAATTTTCAATATCTATTGTTTGCTTCTCTTTTCAAACTATTTTTTTAAATGTCTTTGTGTGCCTTTTAAACATAATGTTCGTGTGTGTGCGTGCGTGCGTGCGTGCGTGTGTATACACGTGTACACAGGAATATGTCCTATCACTGTGTAACTGTGATAAAGAGATTTGTTGGAAAAAGGTATGTGTGTGTGGGGGGGGGTGTGAACATTCAGTATAGAGTAGTAGGTACATGCATGCAGACAGACAGACAGACAGACATAGATATACACACATAGACATATTCATTCCTTGAGTTAAAAACCTTTTCTCAGATGAACTCAATCATAATTTCTAGAATAGAACTTTAAACAAGTTTTCCTTTTTAATTTATAAGTAAGGAGTATGAGATGCAAAACAGTTAAGAAAATTTGGCAAAGTTACCATAGTTTCTTGTGGCAGAATTGGGATCTAGAATTTAAGTTTCTAAAATATTTTCCCCCTTTCATGTATGGATTGTTTTTTAATAAAATAGAAACCATTATTTAATTTTATAGTATTTTTCAGGAGTGAATTCTGTCATGCCATAACTCTAAGATTCTTTAGACTATTTCTAACTGTTTAATTAGTTTTTAATAAAACAATTACATAGAAATAGAATTGTACAAAAAATATAAACTCATTTTTTTGAAGCTTCATCTGGCTTATTAACATTACCAGGTCTAATGTGGCTTATTAATGATAAAAATAATTTTGATATTAAGTACAAGCATAGGATTTGATTAACCCATGAGCATGGTTTGTTTTTGTTGTCATTCTCCTACAGAAAGCTCACAGACTATGCAAACAACCCCAGAAGTGTGTCTCAGGTATCATCCTCTTGACCCTCTGATAGAATAACATAGTCTTAAATTTCCCTGGAGAAAGGCCGTTTCGCTTCTCAGTGATTCTGACTGCCATGCAGAGTACATGGTTTCTTCCCCAACTAGCCAAGTTTATTGCTTTAATCTTATGATAAACTTATATTGAGGAGATAGTTTGTTATTTGAAATTTAAGATATGAGATGCAAACTAATGTTTGCATTAGTATAGAAATGGATAGTTATTAATTATTTGGTTTAACATAATACAAAACATTTTAGTCTCTTTTCCTGTGAGATGATGATGTCTTAGAATTTAGACCTAATTCTTAGACCTAAGAATTTTATGGTCTTCAAATCATCAAGATAATTGTCAATTGAATTATTTTAACTTACTTTTTTAATTCATAGAAATCTTGAGTAGAATGCCACTAAAGAACAATCCACTAGTTACAACATACATGCAGGTCAAGAATATTGAACTAAAATAATCACAATTATCTATTTTGTGTAATGATTCACAATTTTTGGAGTCTTTTTTTTTTTTTAAACATTTGTCTTGAGGTTGTCCTTATAGATGTCTGTAAATGGCTTTCCATTTGTGTGAAATAATTGAACATAGGTTGGCTATTTTTATGTTTCATAGGATTTGAAAGAGATAATCTAATTGTCAGTCATAAGGTCTGTAACATTGCCAGCTATGGGGAATAATATTGTTACATTAGTTGGTACTTTATCTAACATGAAGGAATTTAAAACTGTATTTTAGGAATGTTGGAAAATAATCAGATTTTTGAGCTCAGGATCACACAAGAGTTTTGCAGTAGTGTTTAAGTGAGTGTTCTTGGTGTTTTAGGGTCTGAGAATTGATGGAAGCTGAACCTGACCTTGATAAGATGTGCTGTTCCATCCAACAGTTCCCATGTTGTTGTGATGTGGGTGGACTTTTATTTTTCTCAATCTAAAGATCATAGTTCTAAAAATACTTGGAAGTTTTTCTTCCAGCATGTTAAACTGGGTGGAGAACTTCTCCCACATCTGCTAGCTAAAAGTTTGATGTTGGCATACAGGTTACATATCATGCTGGTGGAGAAAACTGATTAAATACTTGTTCATTATAATAAAGAGCAGTGGTAGTAACTAACAGTGTCAGCAACCAGAAAGGTAACAGTGGTAATAATAGTGACTGTAAGAGTTGTAGTAGTATAGTGGAAAAATTTCCTTTCAGAAAGGGCCATGTTGCACATTTTCTGGGCTTCATCTTAAGACTTGGACTTGGAAGATTAAAGGGGAAAGGGCTTGTTTGTTTCTTCTTTTGTTTCTGTTTTTCAAAACAGGGTTTCTCTGTGTAACAGCCCAGGCTGTCCTGGAACTTGCTTTGTAGACCAGGCTTGGCCTTGAACTCATAAAAATCTGCCTGCCTCTGCCTCTGAAGTGCTGGGATTAAAGGTGTGTGCCATCTCGCCTGGCTGATTTAATCTTAAGAAAGGGAGGAATAGGGAACATTTGCTTGTTTTTTGTTTGTTTGGTTTTTGTAGGCTGAGAATAGTGTCGATGCAGTGGTGTAATGAGTGTGGTGTGTAACTCCCACTCATTTGGAGTTGAGGCCAACTACTAATTGCTATTAACATTCCTCTCTGTTCTTCCCAGTCATTCTGACAATTGGGAGGTAGACAGTATTTATCTAGTTGGTGCTGTAGAGAAAGTCTCTTATATGTCATCATGCTACAGCATATTCATTGGGATTCACACATTAGGAAGAAAGCCTCACTTAGATTTACATAACCGAACTTTCTTCTTGTTTAAAAGACTTTCTTGAAGTATTTTTTGCCCAAATCCTTATGTTGAAATTGAAGCCCATTCTGTGCTCATTCAAACCACCATCTGAACTACTGAGTTTATGTGGGAATTGTATGGTGTTGATAATTGCCTGAATATAGTTACTGGTTTTGCTAGTTCTGCTCATACGCTTATAATATTGGTAATAAATATAGAGCTTTTGGCTCCATCCTCACCTTAATAAAGATAAATAGGGGCTAGAGAAGTGGTTCAGCAGTTAAGAGCTGGCTGTTCTTTCAGAGGACCTGGATTCAGTTCACACCCACAACAGTGGGTGGTGGCTCACAACAGTCTGTAACTCTGACCTCTTCAGACTCTTGGCATACACGTACACAGGCATACAAGGACATGAAACACCCATACACATATAAAAATGAATAAGGGGAAAACCGTTTGGTGTTTTTTATCTTCTTTCTCTGCTTAAGATCTGCATTAGACCATTATGGATACTAGGACGTAAGTGTGTTATGTAGGTGGGGTGAATGAATTGACTTCTGTGTGCCTCAGAGGGAGCACAGTTCAGCTAAGAACTGTACTAAGGATTTCACATACACATTCCCATGAGATATTTACTATTATCTGAAATTGTTCTTGTTTGAAAGGTAGGAAACTGGCGCTGGGGAGATGGTTGTGGATAAAAGACTTGCAGCACAAACACAAGGGCCAGAGCTTGTGTTCCAGTGCCCACCAGAAGGATGGACAGTAACCATAATGTCACCCTTGAGTAAACTGCAACTAGACTAGCCACATCAGTGAGAGAGCCTGCCTCAGGAAATAAGGTGGCCAGAGAAGACGTTGGACATTGTCTTCCACCCGTACCCACACGTGCACATAACCTGCACATACATGCTACATAGACATGCAGAAGAAATAAGGAAGCCGAGTTGAAAGGTTTAATTTACCTTGTGACTGTCCTGTAAAGTTATTCCTGTGTTTTAGATTTTTACTTTTAAGAGAGAGAGAGAGAGAGAGAGAGAGAGAGAGAGAGAGAGAGACACGCATGTGGGTATGTGTATATGTGGCTGTGAAAACCAGAGGGGGTAGTCACCCCAAGATATTTTATAGGTATATAAAATAGGCATACAAATCAAGCATATGCTGACAATAAATAAAATAAATTTATTTTAAAACATACATATAGTTTTATCACTTATGCAAGACCCAAGGAAATTTACATATTAATGAGAGTGATATGCTTATTTTTCTTTACATAAAGAATTAAGTCAGGAGCTGAAGAAATGACTCAGTGGTTAGAAGCAGTTGATGCACTAGAAGAGGACCTGGGATTCAGTTCCCAGCACTTGTCTCCACCCCCACTCCCTCCACCCCCCACCCCCGTGGCTAACAACCCTCTGTAACTCC